AAATGCATTCGAGCAATTCAAATTGTTGCAAAGAGAAACCGATATAACATATTTAAACAAAGCATAAGTGACAAAGATATTGAAGATCAATGCATTTAAAGCAGGTCGAATACTAAACCAGTGTTATAAATGTTGTCAAAAAGAATTTCTTTCACTCAGATAGAAATGCAAAGCATGTAGTAGTTATATTTCAAGATAAATATCGTTACAACATGATACTCGTAGTTTGGTGGCAAACTATTGGGACAGGAACAATATAAAAATGATGATGAAAAGGTCTACAATGACTGCCATATTATGTTAAGGGATAAATTTGAAAGACAGACTCAGTGTGTGTTTGTGTGTGTGTGTGTGTGTGTGTCTGTGTGTGAGAGAGAGAGATACGAATCTTGTGACTGTTGATTTATTTCTTTATATCCAACGAAGAAAAATAAATCTATACTTCCTATTACATTTTAAGGGTGAATTTGTGTTTACTTGTAATTTGTTTTTTCACTCGTAAAAATAAATATCCCATGGTCATAATCAATGTTGTAAAAGAGGATTAAGGTGTTACGGGGGGAATAGTAATTGACAAAATGTGGGAAAGAGAGAGCATTCTTTCTGAAGTTAAAGTGCTATTTATTTTTGGTGATGTCAAACCAATGAACGTTGCAGGGTGCATTCAATACAAGCAAAACAAATGTGGAGCGAAACAAACTGTCGTACTATGGTTTTTTGATCTTCCGATATTCAGCTTTATAAGTATGCCATTACATATTATATGTTCATGGTATAATGCAATATTTTGTGTTTTTCTATACATGTAAATTACAAGAAGGTAATATTGGTACACACTGATTTCACCATTTTCAAATGGTACAAACGAAATAATATTTTTTAAAAGAATATAATATGATTTTAAGAAATATTTTAATATTATAAACATTTTCATTATATTTAGGATATTAATTTATTTGATATTAATTTATTTAATATAACAATATATTATATTTTGTAGCAAACAAAAATTAATAATTTTTATTAGAAGGATAGGTATGATTTGGTTTTACAAAAATGTTGTTCCGGTGTTTCGAAGATTTTAATAAAATAGTATGACTTGGGCAGAGACAATTAATTTTCCTGCAAGCATCTAAGAAATATACACGTCTGATGGGCAAAATATATAAGTCTAATTGAAATGCAACTTTTAAAATACATGCAAGTTATTTAACATGAAAATTCGCGCCAGTAACTAGGCTGAGTTTCTATGAAATGCTGGAGTCGGTTACACGATATGCAATTTGATAGTTTCCTAGGTTTGCAAGCTTTTTATCTTTATGTTATACAGTTTTGAGAGGACTGAAAAGAAGAACAGTGAAACGAAGTAAAACGAGCTCTTTTGAACATGGATGTTATAAATACGGGTGGGTTAGAGGAGCGATGTACACAAGTGAAAACACCACTTCGTTGGTTCCAAATTAAGATACTTCATAATATCTATTTTGTGTGGGGAAGACGGAAATGGGAAAAGATCATTCTAATATTATGTAACAAAGGAAATTTACAATAAACGATGGCTTAAAGAAAAATGGTATCAATATATATATATATAAATATATATATATATATATATATATATATATATATATATATATATATATATATATATATATACAGAGAGAGAGAGAGAGAGAGAGAGAGAGAGAGAGAGAGAGAGAGAGAGAGAGATTTTGTCTAGGTCAACTTTGAGCTTAAGAGCTCCAGTGGCTTAATGTTGGGAGCGTCCACTTCGGAAGCATGTGATAGCGGGTTTGATTCTCCGCTGAGTCATATCAAAGATCTTACAAAAAAGTTCTAACGGCTGCCTCGTCTATCGCTCAGCATTAAGAGGTTGGAGTTATGACTGGTTAGCCTCGTGCCGAATGACGTAACTCGGTGGGTCGATCATGTCACATGTCTGCGGCATGATGTTGCCGTGCTAGACATCACTATAAACTGTCACACTAATGACATCATAGCGATATGACTGAAAAATTGTTTAAACCTACGCTAAAACTCTTAAGTACTCAGATACACACTCTCAGTCTATCTTTTAGATTCTTCGCTTATTAACGTATACAATTCTTTCCGTTCTTTATAGTTTGCCACCAAATTAATAGTATTATGTTGAAATAAATGAAATCATAGTTAATCTCGATTTGTCGGAATAGGAAACGATATTTATCTTGAAACATAATTACTGATTTTTAAGCATTTCTATCCGTTTGACCGATATTCCTTTTGACAGCATCATTAAAACAGGTTTAGAAATTGTCCTAGTTTAAATTCATTTGTTTTTTTTTATAACTTTGTCGCTTATACTTTGTGCCAACGGGAAAGATTGGTTTCTCCTTGCAGCAATATAAATTGCTCTAATGATTTTTCCATTCATTAATACTTTCAGAAGTACAAGATGTGCAGATTTGTTTAGAGGATCGATATAATTGTACAGCTCTAATAAAACTTTACATTATTTACATTGATTACATTATTCTGTTTAATTTAATATTGTCAGGTCAGCGAAGAATTATTTAGGTGTTAGCAGAATTTTCATTCGTTTTTTTGTGTAAATATTTGTGATTGTGTTATTGCGCAGTTTCAAGCAATAGCATCAACACATTTAATTAAATAAATGCATAATTTATTGAATTGAAATTAATTCCTGAAGTGAATTCACAGTTAATATACTAAAGCAAACTTGGCGTTAAAAGACGTTAAATCTTGGTTGATGATTTATTACTGCAGTACGAAATAGTGAAAACAAAAATTTACAAAAGATTAAATGTTAAGTGTGAAATTGGAGTTTTCATTAACTACTATGTGTTGTGTCTTATATCCTTTTCTTCACTAGGGAGTCCTAAATCAAAAACATAACTTGAACAGCTAACATTTGTGTTGCAGAAAAATGGTACTCTATGACAGCTGTGATAGACAAGTTTTCGAGTGTGGACTAGATATGTAACCATAGTGATGGCAAGTGGATATACACTGCGAAGGAATTTCACTACTTTGATTGACGCAAACAAAAGGGGCACTTCAAAATCAATTTTCATCCACGGATTTTTTATCTTGCGATATCCTGCTCTATGAAAAAATCAGGATAGAATGTGTGCTTTCTAAATGGTTTTAGAAGCTTCATAGCTTGGCGCTCAGCGCTTAGAGGTTAAAGATAGATCTGGTCATCCTGGTGGGAGGATAATGTGACCAGGTGGGACATGACGCTAAAAGTTTGCTTTATGAATCCTCAGTGCCTCGGTGCATGACATTACCATCAACTGCCATTAATTATTTCTTCCGATTTTGTTTCTAACATTAGATATGCGAGTTTTCAAAATCTCCGGTTTATTTTGTGAAATATGCATAGAAATATAAAGACAAGATTAGGAATCCTTGCGCTTGAAATGCCATCATAATGTCTATATTGATACATAATTAATGGTTAGGTGTGAAAACAGCGGAACAGAGAGTGACATAGGGACAGAGGGAGAGAGCCTGACATGTAAATCTTGTAGCTGCTGATTTATTAGTTCATAAGCAGCGATGGAAAACAACCCTAAAAATCATATATAATTTTAAGGGTGAATTTGGTTCTACTTGTAATCTCGTTTCTTCCTCGTATAAATAAATGTCCCTTGGTTATAGTAAATGTTCTAAATTCAGAAAACGGTGTTTTGTGGAAAAAACACTTGCCAACAGGTGGGAAAGAGAGCTCGTCATACCTGTACGTATTATGCAACCATGGTGATCGCAAACCAATGCTCGTTGAAGCGCGATTTCCTTTCCTTGTTACAAACAGCAAAATATGATTCCAAACACACTGTCTTACTATGGTTTACTGATTTTCCGGTTTTTCAACTTCATAAGTACGACACTGCTTTTTTTTTTCCTATGTAAGATGCAATATTTAGTGTTTTCATGTATATATGAATTATAAGAATGTAACGTTAGTATAAACTGATTTCAACATTGCGATCTAGATATTTTAGGAAACCTTGTTGATCTATTTGTAATTTTTTTTCGAACGCTAATGATACAGAAAACTACTTTTGTAAGAACAATCTAAGTATCCGACGAGAGAAAACGACCATTAAGAAGAGCCCGACGAAATAATATTTTTATTAATATGTATTATTTTTAATACTTATATTAGTATCATTATCATTATTATTATATTTGAAATCTTAATAATATATTTAATATATATAAAAAACATATTCTTGTAGCAAACAAGAATGAATTCTTTTAAATTCAAAGGATATACATGATTTGTTGTACAAAACTGTTTTTCCGATGTTTCGAAACGTTGATCCATCCATAAAATGTTTTATCATGCGGATAGAGGAAATAAGTTTTCTCGCAAGTTGCTTAGAAATATACGAATATAATAGGCAAACTTTAAATTTTTAATTGAAAGAAGCATACTTTAAATATATATATAAATTATTCTACATGCAAAATGCACGCCACTGACTAGGCCGAGTTTGTATAAAATGCAGGGGTCGGTTACGTTTTTAGCATTTTGAAAGGTTCGTAGGGATGAATGCCTTGTATCATTACGTTACATAGTTTAGTGAGGACAGGTGACGAACAGTGATTGGATTAAATACTTCTAAATTTAGCTCAAAACCATAGAAACGAAGTAAAAAGAGTTCTTTTAAAAATGTATGTTATGAAAAGGGTGGGATAGAGGCCTGTTATAGACAAATGAAATCACCTTATCGTTGGTACTATATTTAGATATTTTGTAATGTCTATTTTGTTTAATCAGACCGATATTGGATAGGTGTTTTCTAATATTATACAACAAAGGAAATCTACAATAAACGACATTTTTATGAAAAATGATATAATTTACCAGGTATATTTCTTATCCAATGATAAAATAATACATTCAGATCTCTTTACATCGAGTTGCTTCGACTCTGTAAACATCATACTGCATTTCCGATTTTGTTTATGTCATATGTATTTGAGTGGAAGTACTCAGGTAGCTTAATGGTGAGAGCGTCCACCTCGGATGCGGGTGGTAGCAGGTTTCGTTATCCGCTGAGTCACATAAAATACTTTATAAAATGGCACTAACGCCTGCCTCTTTTGGATCTCAGCAATAAGAGATTAGTGCTAGGACTGCTCAGTTTTGTGTCTGGATAATGTTATTGTGTGGGTCTGTTATGCTACTTATCTGCGGGATGATGTCCCAGTTCTAGACGAGACTGTAAACTCATACTGAAGATATTAAAGTTACTTGACTGACAAATTTGAAAAGTTACGTTAAAAATATTAAGCGTACTCAAACACCACCATCTCTCAGTCTGTCTTTTACATTAATCCATTAGCATCGTATAGCATTCATTCTGCTCCTTCTCATCAACATTTTTTATGCCTATCTTAATAGAGTGCCGCCAAATTAATAGCATCATGTTGAACGATATCGAATTATAGGTAATCTCGATTATCGGAATAAGAAACGACATTTATCTTTAAATATAAAAAATCTTTCTTAGCATTTCTACGCGTGTGAACGAAATTCGTTTTGACAGCATCAATAAAACTGATTTAGTATTCGTCCTTGTTTCAATATATTAATCGTTTATGTCATTGCCGCTTATGCTTTGTTTAAACAGGGTGGGTCGGTTTCTCTTTGATGATATTAAATTGCAAATCTTAAGACTGCCGATTTATTTGTTCATAACCAATGAAGGAAACAAACCCTATACAGTCTAATAAGATTTAAGGGTGAATTTGGGATTACTTGTAAATGTGTTTCTCCTTCGTATACATAAATGTAACATGGAAATAATTAAACGTGGAAAACTGTTTCGGGGGATTAATATTTGACAACAGGTGGAAAATAAAGCTCTCTGTGGACGTTGACTGGTATGTAACCATGGTGATGCTAAACCAATCCACTTAGAAGAGCGCTTGCAATGCCTTGATACAAGCAGAATAATGTGGTCCCAAACACTCTATCTTTCCAAGGTTTCTTCCGAATTTCAGCTTTAAAAGCAAGACATTGCATATTATAAGTCCATGATAAGATGTATAATTTAGTCTTATTATATACATATGATTTAAACGAAGGTAACTTTGTTATACACTGATTGCACCATTGCCTTCCAAATCAATTGAGAAGCTCTGTTGAACTACTAGTAACCGGTTTGAAAATGTAATTCTACCAAAAAAACGGAGGTTTGCAAAAACCATCCAAACATCCGCCCAGAGTAAACTTCCGTTTAGATGGTAAACTGGAAATAATATTTATAATAATATGTATTATTTTGAGAAAGTTATAACCCTTTTATTATGGTCATCATTTTATTTAGGATATTAATAAATTTAATATAAACCAATAAAATATATTTTTGTTGCAAACAAAAATATATTGTTTTATATTCGAAGAATAGGCAAGATATGTTTTAAAAAACTGTTGCTCCGGTCTTTCGAAACGGTGATCCATCCATAAAATAATACAACGCGGACAGAAAAAAAACTATCGTGCAAACTGCTTAGAAAAATACAAATCTGATGGGAAAAATCTTAACGTTCAAATGAAAAACACATACTATAAATACATAGAAGTTATTCCATATGAAAAAGCATGCCAATGACCGGACCGAGTTTGTATGAAATGCTGGAGTCGGTTACATTTTATGAATTTTGATTGGTTTGTAGGTATGTATCATGCTTTTCATCATTATATTATATAGCTAAAATAGAAAATATCCTACAAATAATGATAACGATAATTATACTGATATAATTTTATAACATTTAATACATATTAATTCAAGTATTGAACCTACGGTCCCTACTAAGTGGGAGCTTACATTTTTCACCAATGTTTGCTATTCAAGCTTTAATTATGATATTGGATTATATTTTTAGACAAAATACATAAAGCACAACACATAATAGTTAAAGGAATCTCCATTTTCAAACTTAAAATATACTCAGGTGTATAAGGTTATTTTGACTATTTTGTGTTACAGTATTAAAGCATCAACCAAGATAGAACGTCTCTTACCTCCAAGGTTTTTTTAAAAAAATATTTGATTTGAATACACGTCAAGCATTATTTTCAATTCAATCAATTCTAAATTTATTTAAACAATATGTTGGCGCTCTTGCTTGAAATGGCACAATAGCTCAATCACAAAAAAAATCAAAAACAAAAACAAATGAAAGTCGTACTAACTGCTAAATCTAAGTTCGTTAACATAACAACACTAAATGAATCAGAAAAATGTAAACTTTTATTAGAACTGTACAATAATATCATTCCTATAGACTATTCCTCCACAACTTGCACTTCTAAAAGAAATGATCAATGCAAAGTAAATTCGAGCAATTCAAATTGGTGCAAAGAGAAATCAATATAACCTATTTAATAAAGCATAAAGTGATAAAGATATTGAAGATCAATGCATTGAATGTAGGAAGAATACTAAACCAGCATTATAGATGTCGTCAAAAAGAATTTCGTTAACTCGGATAGAAATACAAAGACTGTAGTAGATATATTCAAGATAAATATCTTTACATATTTCTATAATCGAAATTAGGTATGATTTGTTTTTTTTTTCAACATGATACTCTTAGTTTGGTGGCAAACTATTGAGACAGAAAGAATATAAAAATGTTGACGAGAAGGTACACAATCAATGCTATATTATGATAAGGGATAATTTTGAAAGAGACTATGTGTGTGTATGTGAGAGAGAGAGAGTGGTTTAGATTTTTAAAGTTGAATTGAACAATGTTTCAGTCATATCGCTACGATAACTGCAGTGTGACAGTTGATAGTGATGAATAACACTGGGGGATCGTACCGCAGACATGTGGTAAGAAGTCCCACCCAGTCACATTATCCTGACTTAAAGCTGACCAGTCATAACACTAACCTCTTAAAGCTGAGAGCCAAGCGAGGCAGCTGTTAGCACCTTTTTCAAAGACTGTGGTATGAATCGGCCGTGGATCGAATGTGCGACCTTTCGTTTCCGACTCGTTTTCTCTAACCACTAAGCCACAGGAGCTGTTAAATTCAGAGTAAGATGACATAAACTAAATCTAAAAGCATGAAGATGTTTACGAATGTTAATGAACTATCTGTAGAGATACGAATGTATTGTTTTTGATCATTGGATAATAAATATGTCTAGTAAATGATACCATGTTTCTTAAAAGTGTCCTTTATTGTAGACTTGATACGTTATATAATCATAGTATGCACTTATCCCGATCTTGGTCTTTCAGAAAATAAACATTACAAAATATCTTAATATGGTACCAAGAACGTGCTGTTTTCATTTGTGTACATCGTTCCTCTCACCCACACGTTTTCTTAACATCATTGTTCAGAGGATCTATTTTTACTGTGTTTCTATGGATTTGAGCTAAACTTTACAAGTCTTGTATCCGATCAATGTTCTTCTCTCGCAAAGCTATTTACAATAATGATGAAAAGCAGCTGGGACACTATCGAACCATTTCCAAGGCATAAAATGTAACCGAATGTAGCATTTCATACAACATCGGGGTAGTTGGTGGTGTGTTTTTCATGAGGAATAACTTACAAGTATTCAAAATATGTCAATGCATTAAACTTTTAGATGTTGTCAATCATATTTGTATATTTCAAAAGAGCCTGAAAGAAAATTAATTTCCTTTCTCCGCGTGATATTATTTTATTTATGAATCAAAGTTTCGAGAAATCAAAAGAACAGTTATTTAAGACAAATCATGCCTATCGTTCTAATTTAAAGGAATTCATTCTTTTTTGCTACAAGAATATATTTTATTAATATATGTTAAAAATATAAATATCCTACATATAATAACGATTAATATACTTATACAATTTTATAACATTTAATACATATTAATTCAAGTATTTCATCTTATGTACCTAATAAGAGAAACCTTATACTCAGCGGTTACTTGGACGGTTTTGGCAAAACTCTCTTTATCTTGGTATGAATACATTTGGAAATCTCTTACGAATAACCATACTTTTTTCAAACATCTAAAACGCAATGGTGAAATCAGTGTATAAAATCATTACATTATTATTAGTATATAATATGTATATAAAATCGATAAATAATATTGGCAATATGAATCAAGGCAATTAAAGCGACCTCCAACGATTATTTGTTTGGCATCATCATGGTTACATAACACTTGTTCAATTCCATGTACCTCTATTTCCAACCTGTTGTTAATTATTATTCCACCGAAAAACCGTTTTCTGCATTTTAAACTTTAATTATAACCACAAGATACTTATTTATAAGAGGAAGAAAACCAAATTACAATTAAACACAAATTCACCCTTAACATTTCAAAGATAACATACTGTTATTTTATTTCGTTCGTAATGAACAAGTAAATCAGTAGTCACAAGAATTGCAGGTCAATCTCTCACACTATGTCTTTCTCTCTCTCTCTCTTCTTCTCTCTCTCTCACTCACTCACACAATCTCTCTCTGTTTGTACTGCTGTTTTCACACCCAACCTTTAATTATGTATCAAGATTGACATTATCAAGGGATTGTAAGCACATTGATTCCTAATGATATCCTTTTCTGCTTATCGACAATTCATGAAGTAAATCCGATATTTTGAATAGCCATACTTTTTTCAAATATCTAAAACGCACTGGTGAAATCAGTGTATAAAGAGGTTACATTATTATTATTATTATTATATAATATGTATATAAAATCGATAAATAATATATTGTAACATGAAGAAGTAAAAGGCAATGTCGTATTTATAAAGCTGAATATCGGAAGATCTATAAGCATGTGTAAAACAGTATGCTTGAGTGCAGGTAATTCTGCTTGAATCAAGGCAATTAAAGCTTCCCGAAGCGATCATGGATGGGTTTGTCATCACCATGGTTACATAACACTTGTTCAATTCCAAGTACCTCTTTTTACCATGTTGTCAAATATTATGCACCTGAAACACCGTTTTCTGCATTTACAACTTTGATTATAACCACGGGATACTTATTTATAAGAGGAAGAAAACCAAATTCACCATTAACACTTG